GTAATACTAATTCAAATCATAAAAATCAATCAGGTGTATCAGTGATACTGCTTGCAGATGAAAAAGGTTATTTTAAATGTCTTAAATAACTAGTACAAGCTGAAACTGATCTAGAATTATCCCCTAGGACTAAGAGTAATTATTTAGAAAGATTTAGCAATCGTTTATCTTTCTAATATTGATAAAATGATAGATTATTATTATTGAATTAATTTATTGCTAGGTATAGTAGCATTAACAATGAATTTATGTAGACAAATATCGTTATTTTGTGCAGTAAAAGAAGGTCGAATAGATATAGCTCAACATTTATTAGATCGTGGAACTGATCCTGGTGTTCAAAATCATTATAAAGTTAGTGCCTTATGAATTGCATCACAAAAAGGCATGTTAGAAACTTTTGACATTATTATTAAATGCTGGTGCTGAAACACACGTAGTTTCAATGAGTAATATAGCTGATCAATTAAATATAAGTGGTTGGACATCACTTTATGCAGCGATGAAATCACAAGAATTTAATGTTGTTAAATTACTTCTTAGACATGAGGGTGTGGGTGGGTATACTCTTCCCATTCTACATGCACATCCAAATAAATGTACCAAATCATAAGAGTATATGTTCATTACTTCTTGGTGCTAAATCAGGCAATCAAGAACTTTTTCAAGCACTTATTGAACCTGGTGCGAAGTTAGATAGGGTAGGTGTGTGGGTGTGGGTGTGGATGAGATGAAGACTAAAAATCACACCCACACCGACACTCAATTCCTGTGTATACGCGATACAATCTTCGCAGCATAGTTCTTATCTCAAAGATTTATCTTTGGTTACCCTTGCTTTTTGCGTTGTTATAAATACGAAAAATCTTATAATATTCGTACACAAGGAAGGAGAATGATGTCACGAAGTTTTATTCTTCTGCAAATAGTGTGACGCTGAGGTTCTGTTTTCTTTCTTTTCTTATTCAACCTTTTCTACTTCTGATTCTTTTGTTAACACGCACATGGCGTCCTCAACATCAAGCCGGTTGCTTTGTAAAACATGCGGCAAGGAGCCGAGTATTTTCATCTGCCCAGGATGTCAAAGCGATTTATGCACGGAACACGCAAGAGAACATCGACAGAATCTGGTCAATCAATTAGAAAAGGTTATTCTCAACCACGATCAACTCATGCAGACCATTGAGGATCAAAAGAAGGATCCGCACCGTCACACGCTTATTCAACAAGTCGACAATTGGGAGACAAAATCAATCGCAAAGATTCGTCAGGCGGCTGAAGATGCTCGAGAGAACATATTGAATGTTGTCAGTACTCATACGATCCAAGTGGCAGTAGCACTAGGACATCTCAAAAATGAATTCCTCAATGCTCAAGCCAAAAATAACTTTATTGAGACAGATTTAAAACGATGGATAGAAACACTCGATCAACACAAGAAGGATCTGAATACACCATCATCGATTAATATTCAACAAGTCGAGAATGATACCTCTTTTATTTCTAAGATGGCTGTTAGGATCACTAGGAGCTCTGAATTCTTTGAAAGGTTGATTGGTGAAGTCCGAATCGAAGACAACGGTCAAGCCATCGTAAAAAGCGGATCCAACGGTCATGTAACTGTGCGTGGCAAAGGGGAATATTCATCCGGAGAACTTCGATTCCGTTTCAAGATCGAACAGATAAATGCATCTGATAAGTGGTTTTTCTTGGGAATTGTATCGAAAGATGTGCTCTTGCAGACGGACTCATACACTACTCGAACAACATTTGGGTGGATTACAAATGGTTATGCCTCTCTCAATGGTAAACACCAACGTGGCCATAATGGATATAAATGTGACGTAGAAACAAATGATATACTTGAGTTTCTGGTCGATTGCGATCGGCGAACGATTGGCTTAAAAAATGAGCGAACGCAGTCTACATATGAACTATCTGTCAATATAGTCGAATGCCCGTTTCCATGGCAACTCCATTTTGGCCTTCATTATGGGAACGATCGCGTGCGAATACTAAACGACATAATCTGAGTCTGACACTACTCTTAGCTCAACAAGGCATTTATATAGATAGTCGTGGTCGTGCAGCATTTTCTTATTTCTTATTATTATTTGCGACCATAATAGATAATATTTATACGTAAGAGTACCACTGAAATTGCGAAATTTAAGATCAGACATTTCAGCTGCTTGTTACACACACTTCCTTAATATATTCATGTGTATGTGAAAATCTGTTCAAGCTTGTGGGTAAGGGTGTGAGTAGCAGTTGAAAAGAACAATATCGACGCCAACACCCATACCCTAACACTCACATCCGTACTCTCACCGACACCTTACACCCCACACCCACACACCCCACACCCACACACCCCACACCATACCCACATCAACCCACAGGCTGAGCAATGATTTATATTTTCAAATCATTATGCAAAAATATATGTAGACAATGAACGAATAACAAAAAAGATTTGGTTCTATAAATACACTTACAAAAATTTGTTTGATTATGATCCTTTATTGATATTTTTCTCGTTTGGAAGGTGAGTCAATTTGGAAGTCAGTCTTATTTTTAATGAC